TGCAAATTAGAACAAACAAGCCAATAAGAAAAATGAGGGGAGTCTAGCTTATGTGAAAGGAGGTCTCAGCACATTTTTTGAAGCACAAGATGCTCTGTCAGGTAAAGATGCTTTGCACTTACTAAATACAGTATAAAAGAAAAGACAATATTTGCATATAAGGTTGAATTTAATATTAAAAAATATTGTTCTTCTTCGCAGTCTCTTCTAAAAATGTATAATGAGCCCAAAATCTGTATTCTGTTGGTCACAAGCTGGGACTGGCTAGCTGATTGTTGTGGCATATTTGCAAAAGGTGGCACCAAATGTATCTTACAGGAATTGGAGGCATTTGATGAAACTGCTTAGACCACAAATCCAGAAAAGAGAGGAAATGTTAAACTGGAGATAATATCAAGATGACTTACAAACTGTAGCAACATAAAAACTTGATTTTATGATGCCTTATCACATAGTCAGACTGTAATATTTATATGAATATTCAGTACACTCTGACTTGGGAAATCAGGCGGCCTTTATATTCTGCTTGCCATAGGGAAAATGCAACACACTCGTGAGATTAGCTTAGTTGTCTGTGCCATTTTTATATATATCTTTATTTATTATTTTATATATATACACTCTTAAAGCATAAAATGTCCCTCAGGTAAAAGCTCATTGTGGGCTACCATAGTCCTGTCTAGTTAGGGACTGTGTTGGATAAGAAGGTGACAGTGCTGGGCCATCCCCAATAGGTTTGACATTTACTACTATGCTGTTGCCATAGCTACTATATATTGCAGGATTATCGCTCCTGATCATTGATCCTGTGTTATGGGTACCATGGAGTAAGAAAACTTATATCTACTTATAGCCTCAGCCAAGCTAGCGTTTCTGTTGGGTTTAGGAACACTGCTTTGGAGAACTACCAATTTTCTCTTGACCCGCTTGCAGGCCACTTACTAACTAACTGATAGCCACTTCCACGTGTCAGGGAAAAGGGAAGGTAGTGTTGTCTCACCTGGTGGTCCACCTGTATTCCTGCCCCGGGCAGATTAACCAGTGACCTGCCCTTCAGATGACAGTATTTTCAAAAGTGGTTGATAGCCTTTGGCTACCTGCCTAATTTGGTAATTTTTAAGAGAACATTTTCCACAAGTGCGAACACACGTGCTTTGGTAGGGAAGACCTCTTCTAGAGACATCTGAAGATTCTTCCTGTGAAGAATCTTAACTCCTAAACATCTTTATTACCCCCCCAGAACTGACCTATTACTGATCAGTTTTGGAAGACCTTGGCCTAAACCTAGATAGGTTCAATAACAGAAGAGAAGTATTAAAGGATTTAGTGGAAATACTACAGAGTGGTAGTCGTAGGAAAAGACACTAAGAAGAATCAGTATTTGGCATTCTTTGACTTTTTTTTAAGCTGACATTTTCCTAACATTTCCTAAATGTTAGGAAAAATGATAATAGGCTATGTCTTTGTAAGTCTTAAATATCTTGAAAATGTTGAAATCGTAATTTTTCTTTAAATAGTTCAAAATCCTAAATAATCCTGAACAAATTTTGAAATGTGACTTGTTTTTCACAACCAAATCTGCTTTGCATATAGACTATCAAATACTCTAAAAGATTCAGAGTTCTGTTTCCAAACGGTTACTGCTATGGATAAAAAGTATGTGTTATCTTGTAAGATTATTTTTTGGACCAGCAAAGACTTAGTAGGATTTACAGAAAGCTAACACAAACCATAAATGTTGTGAGGTTTTAGAAAGACTGAACACAACTGAGTGATTTTCTCTTGTCCCATCTATTAAAGTGTAGGCTTCTTGTCTTTGAAGACTGATTTCTGGATAAATGAAGAGGTGAGAGAGCTAGTAGGAATGTAAAAAATAGTAATAAAATAATGATAGGGAAAGCAAACTCATTTATTTCACTAAATACTATGTTCTCAATTTAAAAAAGATGTAATAGCTGTAATATTGTTTTGCATCTCTTATCTGTATCAGAGTGTTATTTTTACCTAAAATTAGAGTTTACCAGTGCAGTCTTTTAGATAAATTATGAACTCAAAACTTGGGATGACTCATGTGGTTCTTGGTGCCACTTCTCGTCTGTAACCAAAATGGCTTGTTTTTGTCTTCCTTCCAGTGATCCCCCTTAAGTGCTCAAAAGGAAGCAGACTTGTATCTTGTGTTGTTATAAACAGTGAATTAAAATAGTACGAAGAAAGAATGGCCTTGATGCTGTTGTAGAAGAAAATTAGAGACTTGAAGTCTTAATCTCTCATAAATTTGAAGCTATAACACTGGAGTTCAAGGGACTTACCAATACAATATTTAGTTTTTAAATTCTGAAAGCAAATTCTTAACGAGGATGCAGTGCAGGTCACAGTTGCCTTCTGTAGCATTTTAATATCCTTTTCTCTGTTAAATGCACGTGCAGAAGTGTTTTTGTTTCTTTTCAGTCAAAAAAAACCCCTTATTGAATATGTATTTCAGCTTTGTCATGCAGAACTGCTCATTTGCCCTTTCTTCTCCCTTATGCAGAGTATTTTTGAGGGAGCGTAGCTGGAAAAATTGCATAACTTCTGAAAGACTTGAACCTGTGATAGGTACAATCAACAGCTAAGTTGGATGTGGAGAGGCTTCCAGTAGCAGCAAGAAAAAAGGGTATCTTTGATGCCATCATCCAGCACTCCTGCCAGATGTCAAAGCTTTTCTCTAGAACATTTGATCACTACAGTCTTCTCAAAAGAAAGATGACAAGAATTAAGTGTAAGCATCATTAGCATTGTTCTAGAGAAACAGCTCAGATGCAAGATTAAAAAAGCAAACAAACAAAACCAAAACCACCAAACAACAAAACCAAACCAAACAAAACCCCCCAAACAAACAGAACTCCCATTAATTCTTAGGCATGGAATTATGAAATTCAAGCTCTTTAACAACAGAACATTAAATTAAAAATCTCATTATACTCTGGCTACATAGTGTTTGTACAATGTGATATAATGGGACTTTTCTGTCCTTACACATGTAAGGGTGAATTTGTGTGTCTTATCTTCTCCTTTAAAAAGGTACAACTAAAATTTGTATGCATTTAAACAAAGCTACATGAAGAATAGTTTATATTTGAAAGCTGAAAGATTCGGCACAAACTCTTAAGGTCGTAGTCTTGGTTCTGCAAACTTTCATTATTTGATGCTGAGCATACAACTGTCACAGATGAAAAGTGACTCAAGGGAAAATTATTATTGAATACTGTCTTCCAATATGATTTAAATTTCCTGAGCTGCTTCGTTTTGGTTTGGGTTTTCTTTAATTCACTTCCTCTGGGAAGATTTCTAAAACTTAATGCAGTTTCTGAAGATAATTTTTGTTGATGGGCAAAAATAGGCTCTCAATTTCCCCCTCCAGATATCCTAGAACACAACTTCCAAACCTTGTGTTTTATAAACTGTAGGTCCATTCTGTTGTTGTTGTAGAGCAGAGCTATCTGTGTACAGTTATTTCTCCTAGGTCTCCCTAAATTGGTACAGGATGCTACTTTTTGTTGAAGGCTCACTTTAAGAGGTATAACACTTGCTTTACCAGGTATTTCACGTTCATCTATTTGCATATCTGTTTATACCTGCTTTTTTTAACTCATATGCTTTTAACAATGTTTGTTTCAAATACATGAACTTGATCTGGGAAACCCTGAATTACTGATTATGGTGCAGCTTTTTTCATTAGCTGGGATCAGTAAGATCAGTCTGATCTTAAGTGTGCTATCAGACTGTATTACACACTTAAATGAGTATTAATGTTTTCACAAGTAAGCAACGAAAACCATAAAAAAGCTATCCCGAGATGTTTATTGTATTTTGTGATTTAGAAACTATTTACTAAGAAAATAAGAGGTCAAATAGGCCAGAACCCTTGCTTGCTTGGTTTAATTTCTTGGAAAACAGAATTGCCTTATCAGATCCTCATGTCTCTCTGCCCATTAGCTTGGCTGACAGTTTGACAGTGACTTTGCTGCAAAGGAGATGTTCAACAGGAAGTTTGTTTCGTCAGCTGAAGGGTGCTGTAAACGGAGCTGAGGGGAACTGGGCTCACCTCAACTTGACCCACTTGTCAACGATGGGGAGTTCAGCTGATTTATTTCCCATAATTCTAATTGCAACCTAGAAAGTAGCATTCCTGAAAGGGCTGCTGTTTATATGCTTGTAGACAAGTCATGTTTTATTCTCATGAGCAAGTCATGTCCCGCACAGAAGTCTTTGGAAAGCTAGAAAATTAATTTACTTTGAATATACTTTTTCAGAAGTGCTCTTTACAAAGAGCCTTAGGCTGCAGTTTCTTTTTATTTAAGTGAAAGGAAAAAAAATAGGGAAATGACCACTTCAGTTGCTCAGTTATGCAAAACCATGCAAGTATGACATCCATATTGGCAAGTAAAGAAGATGCTGTGTTGTCTTTGAAACACTGATATGTTGAACAAATTTGAGATTTAGATCTGATTCTCTAGTTTGTCAAGGCAACAGTTCTTGTGCAGTTACAACTACAAACACATTTTACATTATTTTCAGAAAAAAATCTCTACAAAGCAAGCACTGCTGGCTATTACAGCACTATTCCTTTTTTCCCTTTCCACTCCTGTTCAGATATGTGGCCTATGGGAATGCCAATATGATGGGGAACTTAGACTGTAGTTGGCCTTTTGTCTAATACCTTACTTAATACATACGCTAGGATAATGTTTACTTAGCTGAAATGGTCCTATATCTGGTCAATGCCTCTTTTTTGGTTTTGGGTTTGGAGGTTTTTTTTCCTTCCTATAGAATATTTTTACACTTCACCCCCTAAGACCCATTCTAGGATGAGCACGTCAGTGACCCAGGATCTGATTCAGTATGAATAAGCAAATTCTGTTGCCATTAAGTCTGTTAAATTAATTTTCTCTGGAACTAAAACAAAAGAAACCACTGGATCTATATTCAATTCTGAGTCAGACTGGGAATTTGAGAAACTAAAAACTGATGCTTGTCTGTCATATACGTGTCCCTTTGCTTCTGGCCTTTGAGGAGTTATGTCATGTTTGAATTTAAAGACAGTACATACAGCTACTTTTTC